CACAGACTGTATATAAGGGACACTGGACCACAGACTGTAAATAAGGGACACTGGACCACAGACTGTATATGAGGGACACTGGACCACAGACTGTAAATAAGGGACAGAATACTCACAGATAGCTGCAGAGGACAACAGGAGACGGGGGTCTGTACTCGAACGTGTCGGTGTCATTCTCAGGGTCCACCGGGATCTCGTCCTTCGCCTCGTCGGGCGGCTGCTCGCTGAACGGGAACCCGGTGGCTCCCTGGCCCGGAGAGGAAGCAGGGCTCTCGGTGGTGGAGGAGTTGTGGGAGTGGATCCCCCCCAGACATTGTAACAGAATGACGGACAGCAGCAGGAGGACTTGTCCGCACAGCAGAATATAACTCACCGAGATCATCGTCGCTCTCAGAACAACACATTCATCCTCGTCAACTTTCACAGAAACAGCGACACGGCGTTTGTTTGGGCCGTCGTCTTCTTCTCTCGCTTGTATTGGCAGTTGGCAAATAACACTCCAGCGCACTACCGCCGCCCACTGGTGTTAACTGTGAATTACAATTATTAGTACTTAAATGCCTAACGCCTTAAATATGATTATGTACTGTGTTGTAGCTATGGTCCAGCATCAAACGATTTACATTTAAATAAAAAAGAAAATATGTATGTATATTTTTATTTTATTTTAGATTTTAAGAGTTTTGCAGGCCAGGACAATGAGAATACACTGATAGGGTCACTCTAATGTCGCATTGCATTCTCTTTGTCTACACCTCACAGCTCAGAATTACTGGAACAACTGCAAACAACTACTGCAAATAAATAAATGAATGTATGTGTGAAAGCCAGCTTTTGTGACACTCTTAAAGGGATATGAAGATGTATGTGTTTAAAACAAAACCACGATTGAGGTTGGTTCAAACACTGCTGGGAAATAATTAAGCAATGAGAAATATAAGAAAGTCAATGTGTTTCAGTAAATGATCCTCATGTGTACATGTAAACCAGGCCAAGGTGTACACAGTCCTCTAAATGTCATCCTCACATGTCATCTTAATACTGCTGGTGCACATTTACCACCTCTCCATTGAAGTTATACTTATTTCAGATATAGCAGACAATAAGAAGATGCTGATTTGTAAGACACCATATCCCAAAATATATTTTTTTAATATACTTTCCCCATACCTTCCCCAAATAGTCTTGAAGACATGTATTTCAGCTGAGAGGGAGAGAGAGAGAGAGAGATGATGTGTTGCCCAGTTTGTGATTATACACACACGCAGTTATAATTGCTGTTATAACTGTTGTCAATAACTATTTAAGATAAGATAATCCTTTATTAGTCCAACAATGGGGACATTTGCAATCAAACAGCAGCAAGAGTCAAAAATAGGAATCAGTAAGTAATAAAATGTAATATGCAATACTTGAGTGTAAGGATAACAATACTTAAGTGAAAGAAAGTATGAATGAAATAAATAATATGTACAGTGAATGGACTGCACATGAACCATTATTATCATCACAATTCATAATGTGGATATTGTTAACATTACTGTTACTATTTGTTGGCTTTGGTAATAGATGCACTGTCTTCTCATGCTAATAAATACATTTGAAATTCATTGAAATTGAGGGATAACAATATTTACTAACATAACGCAGCAGCTAACTTGCCCTCTGGATATTGAGACACACTGAAACGTTTAATGTGTTTTTTAAAGTGTACACACTAACTCAACCATATTCCAACCTGCATGATGAGCAAAAACAATCACCCACTAACATTACTTTCAAGTGCCTATAGTGTAAATTCAAGGGAACCGATATCAATGTAAATTGGAAATGAACAGTATATGTGGATGTTTGACCACGTACCAGACTGTCTCAAAGTCGTCATGAATACAACACAATAATTGATTTATTTAAAAGAATCATCCCAGAAAAAAGGTCACGCTTTCTAGCCTTTATAGGCCCTGGTCATGTATTTTATCAATTGTTTCCTACGATAAGTGATGTGATGATAGAAGCGTGTCGGTTATTTCTAGGGATTTCTGTTCACATCTTTGTCATGTTGATGCATAGAAGCTGGATGTTTGACTGCTGACCCATTTCATATAAGTACCTGATATATTTTATTCACATCATTGATCATTCTTTATTCTATATTAATTTTTAACTTGAGGGCAGCACAGAGGTTCTGGGTTCTTCTCCATGAGCTTCTTCCAGGTACTCCTCCAGTGCAACATGCAGGTTAAGCAGTATAACTAATGGATGGATGAAAGAAACTCTTTGAAACATAACTATTTATTGTTTCAGTCTTTGAGGGAAAAATTATCTTATTGACCAATACACCAATACACTGATGCATGCATGCATCCATGCATTCTCTAAATGGCAAGAAAGTGAATGTATTTTGAGGTGTTGACTTAAATTTTGTGCGTGTGTAAATCTTTGGACTTTGTGTATTGCATCTCAGTTCAATTAGGTAAATTTAAAGGCCAAACTTTGTTCAGAAATGTGTTAAAGTTTCAGTGGGTAGGACGTAGTGACATCTGGTGGTGAAGATGCATAATGCAACCAACCACCTCCCCTCACCCCTCCCCTTCTGAGGGCAAGATCAAACACGTGAATGCAGCAGTGGCAAAGCTTCGCCCCCTGCTCACCTCCCATCTGTGCAAGAGAGGGGGCAAATGGAACATTAGTTTCCTGTAGCGAATCCGCAGCATGGCTTCATGCAGAGTCAAACCTTGACCCGCGACATTTGACTGTATGTGATTGTGTTTGGTTTGTCTGTGGTGCATCATTGCGGACTCAGTGAAAGAGCTATGAGTATATGAAGGGCTCATTCTAAGCTAACAAAAGAACACAACAATTCTCAGTTTCATGAATAATGAAAACATCATTATATTACATTTCCGCTCCTCCTAAGTCAGACTGGACCTTTCTTCTGCTTTCTGGATTCAAAGGTGGGACATTTTCTGACTCAAGAAAAGACATTCATTCAGTTTCCATGTCATCCACCAACCTGCATTTTAATTAAATCACAATTTAAGATGGTATTTACAAGCCCTGCAACATATTGTTGTTAAGTGTGTAGGTGGGAGTGGGTCCACCTCATGCAGGGACATTTTAGAGTGGTAACTCCATTTAAGATTAGATCAGAATTTTCTCCCTGTTTGTGACTCGTCCTGACTGCAGTCAATGTCAGCATCGTCAACCAAGTTCTTCTGCTCTGTTGCAGGCAGCAGTAGCAGATCAGGGACGAGATATTTCAATCCTCCGCCACTCACACGAGGGACAGATGAAGATAACATAGGAGAGTAGAAGTAGTCCCGGCTGTGGACACTCGGGCAGGCTCTGAAATCCACTTTGGACCGTAGAGAGAGGCCAGCATAGGGATAAAACACCAGGCCTCCAAAGTGTGAAAGACCCAACAGGTCCTGTTGACAAGAAGGAAATACATACAACAAAAAATTAATTAAAGAAACAGCTCAAGTCCAATCATTATCCCTGACAGGCTGAAAGAGCAGTTTATACCAATATCCTACAAGAACTATAAATGTGTCCCATCACACTTATTTTCATAATTTCATAAATTACTTTAAAGGTCTTGTGTGTAAGATTTAGGTGAAATAAGCAGAAATTTAATATAAAATAATCCTGTTTCCACTAGTGTGTGATCATCTAAATTGAAGGAATTGTTCTTTACCCTAGAATGGGCCTCCATTATAAGATTTTCATGTGCAGCTACAGTAGCAAAGCTGTGTTTACACAAACATTTATGCCTCGGTCATAATAAATATATTCTAATATATAATAAACATAAAAACAATTATAATGTATTATTAGTTTATATAAAAATAGCTTTTTTCTGTGACTCATTATTTTGCCATATAGAAACACATGTAAAACAATAAGACTGTTGATCATAATTCTCATGATATATAAATAAAAAATGCTGGCATGCTCTTAATGATGAGTAAGTCACTTCGAATACTTTAAAGTGGGCAATATTGTGCGTGTTTCGACAGGTGCCAACTGGATGGGTTAAATGCGGAGAACAATTTGGTGTATGCATGTAAAAGTGTTAACATGACAATAAAAGTAAATCTTCTTCTTCTTCTTCTTCTTCTATTGATACTTGTACTCAGGATCTTAATCTTTTTTTCTACCATGTTAGCTCTGTGAGTCAGAGATCTTCAGATTTATCCATCTTGTAGTGAAATGTGATCCTGTAAGTATTTCCTATGTTTGACCAGCAGTTCATTGGTTCTGTGTTTACCTGCACCAGTGCGTGCTGTTGAAGGCTCAGGGGAAACCCTGCAGCTGCTGGAGTCCTGACAGTTGCTGCCGGGTTCAGTCCACACGACGGCGCTCTGTCCACAGCGGTGCAGCTGTTCCAGGTGTTCACCTGAGCAGAGCGGAATAGACTGTTCGCTCTGCTCGGACCCCACAGGTGGGGGTTTGATTCCAACGGATAAGCACAACTCTGAGCAACATTGCTGCGCAATTTGCACATTTGTTCCTTCTGTGAGTCTTGTGGTTGAGATGAGCTCGCTCCATCAGTTGATGTACTGAGGACGTGGCTGCTTCTAGAGTCTGTTTCTCTCTGTGTTCTGTCTGGAGTCTGTACCGTGCTGCCTGTGATGGAAACCTTTGGCCCCACTGTTGTTTCTTTCTTCTCTTGAAGAAGGTCCACAACATGATCATTTGCTTCAACATCCCTCTCATTGGCATCTTGAAAAAATAAACAAGATAAAGGTAAATGTAGTTTTGTGTGCTTGTTTGTAGCATCACTGAATGTGACGCATGAACAAAATAAGTGTTTAACAGTGGAGTCAGTGTTTCTGCACCTGGAGATCTGGGATTGTCTGGATATTGTGGAGGTGAATCTTGACCAGGTTCATGTTTCAGGATGGTCATCCGCATCTCTTTGGGTGTTTCTGATGAATGTTGTAGTTTCCTGATATTAGAAATAATAGAAAGGATTTTGGATTTTTAGGATAAAACAACCAACAACTGAATGAGACTGATGTGACAATACTAAACAGCAGCGTTTTACTGGCTAAGACACTGTGTTTAATACATGAAGACTATGGTTAAACTGTTTGGATTTACAAAGGTGTTTTTCTCACACCACAGTGGTCACAACTTTAGTGTGAGGCTTTGATGCTTTTCCCTCTTTTATATAATTAAAAAATGATCTAACTGCTTTGTTCTCTATTTGCTATCACTATATATGTATCTTGTATATTACAGACCAAACCAGGTCAATCTGTAAAAAATCTCAATTTCATAATTTCATACTAAATATTTAAGGCATTATTATAGTTATCATTATTATTATTTGTGATAAGGCCCAGACTTTTTATTACAATAAATCAATGATTTGTTCTACTCCCCACCAGTGTTTTAACCCTGTCACAACAGTCAGACCTTCATGTTGTATGAAAACTTCATAGAAAATATTTTCTGACGGTCACCTTGTTCTATGTCGATCAGAGGGACTTTACGACCATTGTTACAGATTAGTCTCAGCTCAAACATGCTGTGAACGTCTCTCTGAGTTCACTCCATGCAGCTCCGCTGTTGGGTTAAGATCTGGGCCTTGACTCCATAGTGTTGATTTTTCGGATTTAAAATAATTGTGTATAGATTTACTCTGATGTTTAGGGTCACGGGCCTGTTGCATCATCAACACTGATATTCAGCTGTGGGACAGACACTCTGATATGATCTTGTAAAATAGATAAACTTTGATATTCAAGATCATTATAACTTCCAGTGATTCCTTTAAGTCTGTAGCTGTCACTCTGAGCTTCCTTTTTACCTCACTGACCATCAGCTAATCTGACTCAAAAGCATAATGCAAAAGGATCCATTCTACTGAGAACAGTGACAGTTTGACCGTCTGCCAAACTGTCGACGGATGAGCATCCAAACTCAAAACATGACAAAGATGCTACTTGTGAAGAACTAACTCAAAATGTTACACAATCTAGTTTCAGCAATGAGACTGCAGGTTTACTCAATCCTGAGTTAGCTTTAGTTAATGTCATAAAATGAGAGGTTCACAAATTGTGTCTGATGTATCCACTCTGGACAATACACAGAGATTTGTGAGTTATTGCTTGAAATAAACTGATTGCTCACTATTGTAACTTAAATCTGACACAAATACAGATAACTGCCAAAGACAAAAAACTTAAAACTAAACTCAACCACTGCAGCTAATTGGACTTTACTGTAGCCACTTTACTCTTTACTTCTTACTACTCTAAATGACATGAATATTGCAGTTACAGCTAACACTGTCTTTGCAATTGGAGGTTTGGGCCATGACCCAGCTGTTATATTTAAATTCAGCCTCAAAATATAAGTCAGTAACTACTATAATAACAACAATAACAACAATACTACTACTTCTTAAAGGTACAGTGTGTAGAATCTAGTGTTGAAGTTGCACGTTGCAGCTGAACACCCCTCACCTCACCCTCTCCTTCCAAACATGAAAAAGAACCTGTGGTAGCTTCAGTTGTCATAAAAACTCAAAAGGTGTTTAGTTTGTCCAGTCTGAATAATGTAAAAAACATGGCAGCCTCTGTAGAGAGGGTCCCCTCAATGTTAATATGAAGTATTTAAATATAAAGGACCCTTTCTGGGGTAAAGATAACTAAAATTCATACAATTTAAATCTGCAATAGTTCCCGTTCACCTAAATCTTACACACTGGACCTTTAAATAATA